AGAGAGAGAGAGAGAGAGAGAGAGAGAGAGAGAGAGAGAGAGTGGGCTGATGCTGCTGCCCCTGATGTTACCAAGGAAAAAACGAGTGTGACGATGCGGTTGTCAAAGAGAGAGAGTCGGACGGGAGGTTCTTTTGGAGCGGATGACACAATGGAAAGGGAAGTGCCACCAAGGCGGGAGCTCAGAGGTAGAAGGGCTAAGCGCTAAAGGGAGTGCAGTCTCAACTGCTCAAAAGCATTTGCTAGTAGGGAGATTTCCATCAGACATTGGGCGTCGCTCCACTATACATCGCTGTACATGCACTTGGACGCTTTTCACTACCAACTGCATTCGGAGGCCAATGCTTTGAATATACCTGCCACTCTGGTCCCGAAAGCGTCCGGATGCATGTAGAGTGTTGTGTAGTGGAACGAGGCCCATTGATTCTTTGATTCCATGATGTATTCTTTTGGTATTGGTGGGCAATAAGAGAAGAAAAGGAGAGAGAGAGAGAGAGAGGACAGGGCAAGGGCGAGGGCGAGGGGGAGGGTATGGTGGCAAGACAAGGGAGAGTTGACGTTGGGAGTATTCTTCCGCTGTTTCTCTTCTTCTCCATCTTTTCCCAGATCTTTCCCTCTCATTCCTCACTGACTCTTCATCTTTGTGTTGTGACATAATACTGGCTGGACCGGTAAGCTCATCGGCCAAGCTCTTCCCTGACTGGTGGCTGCCTCCAGACTTACCAGACCTCTAAAAGGGGGGAAAATCATTTCAGGCTGTATTGATCCCCCTTTACACTCCACGTACCTAGCCTTGTGCCCATCTATTTCGGTCCAGTTCCACCATAATGATTACATCTACTGCTAAGTGTACTGTACACTGGGCCTCTTGGAGTTGCTGAGAACTTCTTCTTCCTCCTCCTCCCCCTCCTCTCTTACACCGCCTCCTCCTGTTCCCCCTCTCTAACACCTCCTCCTCCTCTTCTTCTTCTTCTTCTTCTGCGTCTGCTTCTTCTTCTTCTTCTTCTGCTTCTTCCTCTTCTACTTTTTCTTCCTCCTCGAACCTCTTCTTCTTCGTCTTCCTCTTCTTCCTCTTCCTCCTAGGTCGATAGCTGTGGCAGCACACTGTGATTGAATCTCTGACCATTCCACGTTCTCTAACACATCCCTTCTTCTTCCTCCTCTTCCTCCTTCTCCTCTCCCTCCTCCTCCTCCTCCTCCTCCTCCTCCCCCTTTCTTGTCTTTTTTGCTTTTCTTGCTGTGTTTGCTCAGGAGACTCGGGACTATGTGAAGGGAGTCTTCAAGAATTACTGGAATTACCTTTGCCTCTACAATGAGGATGTTGCTGCCCAGACACGCCGTAAGTCATCACTCCCCATGATCCAGGTTACCCGCACATTCAGGTGCTCCATGCTCTATCTGTGTGTGTGTGTGTGTGTGTGTGTGTGTGTGTGTGTGTGCATGCACCTGTGCATGTGTGGCATTGTTTGCATCTTGTGAATTTGTGTGATGTGTGCATGTGTGCATCTGTGCATGTGTGCATGTGTGCATGTGTACGCACACGTGTGCATGTGTGCATGTGTGAACATGTAGTACACGCAAGTGTGCATGTGTACGCACAGGTGGGCTATATATGTGAACTGCTGATGGTTGCCAATACCTGCTTTAGCAAATCTTCAGACACAATCTGGAGCAGTGACGCAGTTAGAAATCTTCTGATCTTTCTTTATAATCTGATATGTATTTATTTTGTCGATGGCTTTTGTTTGTGCAAAAAACCTGCATGCCATCATGGTCTGGAAATTGCATAGGCGTGTTGATGGAAGAAGGCCAGTCAGCGACTATGGTCGGCACCAAATCAACGGCTGCAACAGCAATGACATCATCATCCAGAAATTACGTACGTGTATTGATGGAAGAAGGCGAGTCAGCGGGGGAAGTCGGCACCAAATCGACGGCTGCAACAATAGCACCATCAACGACTGACATTGCTCTGCACAGAACAGGGGGGGAGGGCGATGAGGGTGGGGAGTCAGAGGAGAAGGGTGGTGAGTGTGAGAAGTTTGAAAGCACAGACCGTGCTCTAGCTATGGCGACAACTGCAAGGAAGGCACCATCAACGTCGAAAGCGGTTCCACAGAGAATGGAAGAGGAGGAGGGTGATGAGGGTGATGAGGGTGAGGAGAAGAAGAGGGACGAAAAAGACCAGGATGGACCATCCACTGTTGAGGAAGACGATGGAGAGGATAGCGGAACAGAGAGCAAAGGAGAATTTTTAAGCATGAGGCAGCCTGCGGTATCAGAGAAGGACCCAAGTTTGGACCGCAAGAAATGCTAAAAAAGACATTAATCCCTTCACAGAGAAGGAGGGGGGGGGGAGTTGGTGGGTGGGTGTGGGAGATAGGGGTGGGGGGTTGAGGGGGGAGGGTTAAGGGGAAGAGGATTGAGGACATCAGTTTTTTAAAAGCAAGGCCATATGGATGTTGTAAGACTAAATGGACCAAATGTGGCCGTAAATGAGGTCCAATGCACTCAGGACAGTCCAGGTGCCATTCTATGCCCAAGGAGATGAAGCAAGAGTAGTATTTTTGTTTTTTTTTCCTTCCGTTTGTGGAGGGGGAAGTTCAGAAAGGTTGGAGAGGGGGAAAAGGGGAGAGAAGGTAAATAGCCCCCTTGGAATATTAATTTTTCTTTTCTTTTTCTTCTTCTTTTTTTTTTAATACTAACCTTTTCTGTTTATCACTTGCTTCCCTTTCCACTTTGGAGCAATTCTGAATAACCCTTATTAAACTACCACTGCCAATCAAAGGAAAATTGCTGGGTCTAATTGTCCCCCAGCCATGCACATTGTGTGAACAGGCCTACCAGGTGTGGCCAGTTTATTCGGCCCGTTGGGCCAGGTTGACCTGAAGCAGCCGCATTGTAGAGCAGTCCAAGCCCCAGTTTGGCCATTACCCACTGGTAGCCTCTGCAATTTTTCATCAAGTGAAGCTTCAGCACCCGTTTATCACTTTGACTCTCCTCTCGTCTTCTTCTTCTTCTTCTTCTTCTTCTTCTTCTTCTTCTTCTTCTTCTTCTTCTTCTTCTTCTTCTTTGTCTTCTTCTTCGACGTCATCGTCGTTTTCGTCTTCGTCTTCGTCGTTTTGATTTTCGTCTTCGTTTTTGTCTTCGTCTTCGTCTTCGTCTTCTTCTTCTTCTTCTTCTTCTTCTTCTCTTCTTCTTCTCTTCTTCTTCTCTGCTCTTCTTCTCTTCTTCTTCTTCGTCATTGTTTTCGTCTTCTACTACTACCACTCCTCCTCCTCCTCCTCCTCCTCCTCCTCCTTGTCCTTTTTCTTCTTTTCTCCTGTCCCGTGTCTTCTCTCCTCTCTCATCCTGAAACTGATGTGAAATTAAAGAGATTAGTTGTCTGACACGGCAATGAACTTTTGACCATGATCCCCGACACTAGTGTACTATAGCCTACGGCCTCTGGTTCCTTTTTTTTTTTTTTTTTTTTTCCCCCCCTTCTCAAGAGAGACATTTTGGGTTCTTAGCTGCGCCAGTGCCGAAGAAGACTACCAAACAACTTCGGGGCAACAAAAAAAAGAAACAAAAACCTGAATGCTGTTCCAACGATCGGACGGCCAATTCAGGACGGATATGTCGAGCTAGTGCTTTAGGGCATGGACTTGATTGTGCCCACAGTAGTTGTCCTAGATGTCTATCGGGTAGGGGTACCCCCTGCCGTGATTACTTCCATCTCATTCCGTCCCGCCGAGGAGGAGAATCGAACTCATGATCTGTTTATTAGCTGTTACAAATCTGGAGTGTGAGTATGGCCTGAGATTCGGCACAGCAAAGCTCACATTGGGGGGAGACACAGGTCTGTATTCAGCAAGCAGATTCGTGCGAGTGTACCCTCGAGGTTCAGCAAAGCAAAGGTCAGGTGTGAGTATGCCCTGAGATTCAGAATGTCGTAGCCTCCCTGTCCCCCACAATTGAACATAGCCGACTCATTGGAAGTCTGGTCTGTATTCAACAATCGATTTGTGTGACTGTTCCCTTTGAGCTTCAGGAAAGCAAAAAGCAAAGTCCCAGTATGAGCATGCCTGGGATTCCGTAAAACTAAGTTGACAGTATGTGGGGAGGGGTGAGGGGTGTTGGGGAGGGGTGCTGGCGAGGGGGGGTGTAGACCCTCTCCCTCCCGCTGGGGAGGGGTGTTGGGGAAGGGGTGTTGGGGAGGGGTGCTGGCGAGGGGGAGTGTAGACCCTCTCCCTCCCTCACATGTGAACACAGCCGACGCATTTGGAAGTCGTGTCTGTATTCAACGGCAGACTGAAACTACTGAGGGTTTGTAACTTTGTATTTCAATTTTCAACAATTCATTGACTAAGAAAAAAAGAAGAAAAAAAAAAAAAAACAATTCGTTGATGTACCGAGTAAGAGCAATGAGCATACTCACACTAGCACTTTCCTGGATGTATGTGACCCGGGTGCATTGTGAAGTCATGTCTGTATTGGAGTAAATACTCACACTTGCACTTTTCCGAGATGTATCTGACCGTGGTTATGGCCAGACTCCATGAGTCCGACTGCAATCACCTGCAGAAATTGGCATAAAAACTTAAAAAGGCCTCAGGCTGGTGTGACTATTACCTTGAGCTTACCCAAAGCAATGTCTACAGTCTTCCCCCGAATACAATGCACGGTCATTATAGCTGAATTTGGGCTAAATTCAGCTATAATGACCGTGCGTTGTATTCGGGGGAAGACTGTAGTGTGAGCATGCCCTGAAATTCAGCACAGCAAAGCTCGCATTGAGGGGGGAGCGGCCTGCGGAAAAGAAGAGGAAGCAAGTTTTTTTTTTTTTTTTTTTTTTTTCCCCTTCCTGCACAGGGGTCCTGTGGAGGGAGCTGCGGGAAAAAAAGTGGAAGCAATTTTAACGGATGTCCTGTAAAACAGGACTGCAATTACAGCCAGCCCAACTCGATAAATCTGACAGGGGAACCCAAGAGACAGACTCGAACTCAAGTCTTTGTTTTCTTTTTTTTTCTCTTTTTTTTCCCAGCCTTTGTTACAAAAACATGGGCTAGACGCCGGGGACCTCAACATTACACCCCGATGCAAATGGTTCTGAAAGCATCATCCCCAGCTTAGCTTACATGCTGAAAAGCCTGCAGGTCTTTTCACTACAGACCTCCTCACACAGCTCTGTGGCTGCCTTCCTAGACCACTAGACCTACTAGACTACCCCTACCTATCCTTAGCTTTTCATGAGTTTGCACTGGGAGCCAGTGCTTGTTATATCAAATTTGCACCATGGATTTTGTCAGAAATGTTTGATGCTTCTTGGGACTGAACAAATCGATAGTATCCAGCGGCCTAGCTCAGTTGGTAAGGCACGCAAGTGGCATTCAGGAGGTCTTGGGTTCAATCCCCATTGGCCTCATGTACCTTCCTGGGCAAGCTTGGCACCCGCCACCTAGAGATATGCCGTTGGTCCCCCCGAGTGGCATTGAGCAGAGACTGCTGATGTTCATAGGGGGAGGGGACCGGAGGGGAGGCACAGTGACTGGCCCATCGAAGAAGCTCGGTCCTGATGCTACCGGCTGACCCCTGGCCGGTATCGCCCACCTGCTATAGCAGGTATCGCACCTGCTGGTGGGTGCAGCTCCCGCATGTTCCCTCGTTGGAGGCTTGAGCACGGATGTGGCTGCTACGGGGTTCCCCATACTTTAATGACAATAAAAAAGGCCTGAAAGGCCGTCCTGTCCAGATTTGACAGGTAATTGAATTGGTTGGGCTTAAAGAATTAGCCTTAAAAAAGTCGTCGCTGTGGTGCTGGACAGCATATACAATCCGGAATCTCTGGACTGTTCTCATGCGAAGCATGCAATACTCTAGACTCTAGAGACCATGAAAAAAAGTAGATAGAAGGTATGGAAACAGTTTTAACGAGTACGTCAATAGGACTCCATACTTGGTGACTGGATGCGATTAAACCACCACTACTTGGCTGAGCTATCGGCCGCAGAAAAAAATAGACTAGAAACGTTTCTAGTCGGATGAATTTGGGCGCTCCTGTAGTGGCCCGTATGTGTCCTAAAATTGCGGCTTGTTAACGGGCACAACTTTAGGAAGTACTGGTGGGGATTAATCTCCCATACCCTATCTTACTATAGTACAAAACAGCTGCCTCTTACCGGTACAGGACCTTAAGTCGGGCCTGTGGAACATAAGGCTCTAGGGCACTGGTTGGAAAAGCGCATTGTGGTATGAGGTTGCGGGTTCAAAACTCCACACTGACGCGCAGGAACACCGGTGGGTGTTTACATAACGTACGGCCATTCGCACCCCCCCCCTTGGGCTGACACATGGTAAGGATTACAGACACTACAAGGGGTTCAAACCACCAATACCTTTCTCAGCCATTGATGCCGAGCCTCCCACTACCAGTAAGCCGAGCCTTGCCGAGCCTAGCACTACTGGTAGTGGGACTTTCTTTCTCTGAAAAAAAAACACAAAGAAAAATCCGGCCCAAAAAAAAAATAATAATAAATAAAATCCGGCCGAGGTTCTTTCAAAAAAAAAAGGAATAACTGCGCGGGTGACTGCTGCACAGTTCCGGATTCGCAGGAAGGAATAACAACAGGGCACCGCGGTTCTGGACCGAGGGAGGGCAGTTAGAAACTGCAAAAACAGATTCTGAACTGTTACAGCTTTGTGCACTTCTAGCCGTTGGAAGTTCGGATGTGGCAAAATCAGGTGTGTTTTTTTTTTCTTTTTTCTTTTTTTTCCACGCCTGCTTATGTTACGGCTGAGCTGTATAGGCCACACCCATGGCTGGGCCATGGCCGAGACGTTTTGGCCACACCAATGGCTGGGCCACGGCCAAGATGTCTAGGCCACGCCCGTGGCTGGGCCATGGCCGAGATGTCTAGGCCACACGCCCGTGGCTGGGCCACGGCCGAGATGCCACGGCCACACCCCTGGGGAAATGAGCCAAAAACGGGGAGGGCCTGCTACTGGTAACTGCTCCCAGGCCAGGCCACGGGAAAAAGAGCGGTACCACTAGCCCAGGCCACCGTCCGTTTTGGCCAATTATTGAACCGGTAGGCCGTCGAACGCATGATTTACTGTTTTTCTTGCAGTTTCTAACTGGTCTTCGCCCAAGCTTGCAGTGGACTGTTATTTTTGCGAATTCTGAACTGTGCAGCGCTCACAGGCGCAGTTGTCTCTTTTCCTTTTTATTTTCCATACAGCCGCGTTTTTGCTGAGGGCTGTAACGCCCGTTGGGAGGGCATATTCTCACTTGTGCCCAATGTTCTGTATCCAGCTGCTTTCACGTCCAAAGACCATTTGGCTTCTTTTCATGATAATCACGGACCCGGGCCCGGACATTTCTGGACCGGTCCAGACGTCCGGTAATCCGGACAGGCACCAGACAACCGGACAGGACCGAACCCGGACCGTCCGGACCGGTACACTAGACACAAAAAATGTCCGGAACGGGGAAAAAAAAGAAGGAAAAAGGAGTTGGACAGGACCGAACCCGGACCGTCCAGACCGGTACACTAGACACAAAAAATGTCCGGAACCGGGGAAAAAAAGAAGGAAAAAGGAGTGCATAATACATTAGTGATAAACAGTACTGAACACAATAGGAGCCAGTTTAATGAACACAATCAACGGCAGTTGTAAGGGGACGAAACTTACGGCAGTTGTAAGGGGACGAAACTTACGGCAGTTGTAAGGGGACGAAACTTAGTCCTTACCGTCTTTCACTATTCGCAACTTGACAGCTTCATTCTTTTATTTTTTTATTTTTTTTTTACTACCTGG